AGTGATTGGTTCAGCATGAAAAGAAAGAACATAGTTAAAAAGATTCGCTAGAAGGAATTAGTTAAGTAAATCACTTGTTACGTTGATGTACTTAACGTGCCCAGAGAGGAGTTAAGTCGCTTCCTTCGTGTTCATCAATTTAAGATATTTGCGTCTTTTTTTTTGTTTTATCAAATGTGTAATTTGTATCCTTAGTTTTTGCAATCTTGCCGTTGACACTTAATAATGAAACTCCACTCGGTTCTGCGGAAAGGAGAGACAGCTAGGTGAAAGTAAGATTTTGTTTCTATCAAAGTATATCTTTCTCACCCAACTATTGTGACAATAACTATCTTCAACAGCGTTGACATTCTGGTAAACTTCGTTTCGAAATTGATGTGAAAATCGTTTAAAGCTATGCACTGCGTTGAGGAGCTTTGGTGCCGAACCAAACACGAGGCTGTCCTTTTTTCAAAGACTTTTGAATATTTCATTATTCTTTAAGAGGGTTTCTTAAAGGTTGCTAAATATTTCTGTATAACAAAGTTTTGATTTTTCAATGAGAATAAATTTATATGTCTGTGAGTTAGAGGTGTCAGAAAGTTTCAGACTTGGCAATCCAGACCTACACAATAAGTGGCCACCCATCATTTGTAATCTTGAAGAAAGATAATTCTTCCGGCTAAAGAGAGAGACCTCTGCAAGCAAGCTTGTCATCAAATCCAGCGACTGAACAGCCAAACCAATTAATATCAAACAACACAGAAATTCACACCGGCACATAAACCTCTAATTTGCAGTCCCACAAATGAAATTTCATTTGAGCTGGTGTTTTTTCTAAAAAGAAAATGTAATTCTCGATTGTTAAAAAAGGGCACAGCCGCCAGAATGGTTGGGATTCAAGTTGTACTTTTACCGCAGCAAAATTTGAACAGTGCCACTGTCATCTATTGCACCGTGTGATACAAGGTCAAATCTTCGATGACACCGAAGAATCGATGCTTTCAGCGGTAACCGAATTATTTCTGGATAAAATTTTCAAATTCGGTCAAAAAAAGGTTGAAAGTATGCTGTTTAATCAAGGAAAATTAGAAAATGTGCCAATTCGGTTTGAGGTTAAAAATTTAATTAAGGAGAAAAGTAATCCCGTTACATTTGGGAGATTTAAACATAACTTCAACCAAGCAACGTAAATGGAATGCAACTACTACCTTTATGACGTCATAAAATGTGTGGTAGACCTCAATAAACAACCTAATTTCTACATGAATGCGGGACTCTTCAGAGTTCTCAGCTTATAATTCAAACTATTGTTACACGCTGTTTTTGATATTATCTCGAGATTGTTATCAATTTTTCTTCAAGTCCACCTTTCACGTTTAGGTTAAATATTGGGCCACTGAAATTTACACGTAGCATATTGTTACAGGCACAGAGTTAGTTCGTTAGTGAAAGTAACGGGGTTACGAGAACAATTTTCATCCCATTTTCTTAACAAGGAAAATTAATGTTAAAAACGTGCTCAACATCGACCCACCGCAAAGCCGGAAAGGAGTGTCATCTATCAGCGCCTGTCAGGAACATGTACCTTCTTATAGAGTGGAACGGTAACTTTCAATCCCAATAACTCGATAGACCAACATAGTTTACATCTAAAAACGGCTAGGGCTTAAAAAACTAGTCAGCCAAATCGATCTCCTCATATACTCTTTGAATCGCATATTAGACAAAGATTTTGAAACAAAAAAGCTGAAGCAAAACTGAAATGTACCACCTACAGCTGATGGTGAACTTATTCCCAATTTTCGTAAACAAAACCCTTCTTACAACGTGTAAGCTTTTCCGTCAGAGAAGACTGTAAATAGTAAATCTAAAATGTTGATCAGGTATTTTTAGAGCTCCGTGTGAAAAATAATCTTATTTATTTCGTCCAAACTTGTACTCGCGTGGATCAGTGAAGATTTATGAAAACCCCCAATTTTTCCATGTTGACTTGTGTTTCTGGTGAAGTATAATCCTAACATAGATTGCACAATGAGAGGTGTGAAGATGTTATGCTCGTTACACGTAGACCATATTAGAACTTGCGCATGGTCTTATTTTTAACAGAAAGATACAGCTCACCCCAAGAAACCCACTCATGGTATAATCTTCGCGGCCAGCTCTTATCCACCTTAGCCACATGATATCCTTACCACACTGAAGAAAATGTACGTTAAGCTTGGGGAGGAACTTCCTGGATAACAGGGATATTATGACTCGGATGAAAGAACAACCGGAAGTCAAGAGCGCCATGAAGAGGCTGATGCCATTTGTACAACTCGTCTGCTTTATTAGTAGCCTTGTCTGCTATCTGCAGCATTTAAATTTCGCATTTCATTCAGAAAAACAGACAATTGTTATAACTGTTTCATTATATTGAAGGTAAAAAGTAATCGAATCTTTCACTGCGCCTTTTCCTTTTTCTTTCTTTTTTTTTTTTAATATAGCGCCTCTCTTTTCTATTAACCCCTATACTAACTCGCAGCTATTCAGAACGATCTCTTAACTTCGTAATTATTTCCACGTCGTTTATCTTCCTTTGAGTTTTCATTACAAGATTAATCACGGACATTATTGTGTGACAAGAATGTGTAGAACGTGACGGTCCGTCAACCTTGGAGATAACTCTACCGTGTGATGAAAGACAAGTTCTTGAGGAGAACAACGCATTTCTTTCAAAAGTTCTCGAAGATTTAATTTGATGTGTAAAATATCGTTGCAAAACTTTCCTTGTAGTTAAATTACGTTTTTCTTTCTTTTTTTTTTTTTAAGTAAACTGGTTTTTTGTGTACCATACTAAATATTTACATATACTTTGTTCTAAAATGGTGGCTAAGAACGGCTGAATATATACCCACTTAGAAACAAAATTATGCTGTTTGGTTTCCCGTTAAAACATTACGTAAGAATAATGCATGTTTGTCCACGTCACAAAGTCAAGGCAAAACAGAAAAAAAAGTAATTTTCATAACCAACTTACAATCTCTCCATCATAGACAGCATCCATTGCATCACTGCTTGATGGTGTAATTATCCTTCCACTGCGCACCAGCATTTATGGGTCATTTCTTCTATTTTTGACATTAGAACAGCTTTGGAATTTCTGGATTTAAATGGGAGCTCGAACAAAGTACAGATTTCCTTAAGTATGGAAACAGTAAAATAGTTTAATTTTTCTTTCTTGACGTAGTCACATAAGTTATAAATATCATAGACAATCGGATGCGGTAAGCCAATTTCTGTTACAACTGATTCGACGGTGGTCATGTGATTCACTTCTTCCTCGTCAATGGAGCAACTGTTGATGATATGTTGCTGTAGATTTTCTCTTTTTAGAAACAAGTTTCTGTCATCGTAATTATGCATATAAAGCATTTCAGCCGCAAGGTTCGTCTTAACGAGAGATGATTGTGTCATTTGTGGAGGGGGACAGGGGGACGGGAGCCCGGGAGAACAGGGAGCGGGAGAGGGCTGGAAGCGGGAGAACAGGGGCAGGAAGTGGGATCTATATGAAGGCGTGAGGCGGGAAAAGAAATAAAGAAGGCGATAGTTTGTTGTTTATTACTGGGTATTATTCAGTTTAAACACTTATCTAGCAAAGGTTTGAAATTTCCATTTAACATCCACCAATGCTTTACAGAAAATTTTGGAAGCAAGAGAACGTAAATTTGTACTCGGGCTGGACAAACAGCATTACTTCCGGTGAATTTGGAAATCCCTTTAATTCGATTACGTTACAGGTCGTGAGATAGCATGACACATGACACACGTACGGCTGTAGCTTTCGAAAATCTCCAGCAAAGAAAGCGATTCAGGGTCATTCAGGGCAAATGTCGTCAAAGACTATGTTAACCGGCCTTAGTATTTTTCGGTGTGGCAACGAAAACTCCGTTCATGGAAGACCTTCTTGGGAGCTCGCTCCATACGACTGCACATCCCAAATTACCAAAGATTTTACCTCATGGTGCAAACTTGCTTCAAAGGAATGCCGCTTCAATGAGCGCGCCGGAGAGTGCGGAGCATAGGAGAGGCAAACTCTGAACGTTACTCTTATTAAAGGCCAGAAAATGAACACGAATGTTAAGTTTTGGCACAGTTTGAAAGTTAACCCGGGTTTCTGACCCTCTTAATTGACCTAAAGACGGGAGCAACACAATGAAGGGTGGGATGCAAAGGGGCACAAACGTACGGGAGGCGGGAGAACGTAGTACGGGAAGCGGGAGACTCTAACTTTGTTCATACAAAGAAAGGATGGTTACCAGTACACTGATAGAGAGAGAAGAATGAAAACTTTTAGAGAATTTGTTCTCATCCCTCGACAATAGATGAAATGTGTAGCGCGGTGGCAAAAATAAAATTTAACAACTCGAAACTCTTCTTACTATTATTTACAGTATTGAGGGTTTCAGAGAAGAATTCAAATTGGGAAAGTCGCATGAAGCAGTGAAAATATTGAGTGTTAACTCATAGTGGTACTTGAGTGAAAAATGTTTTCAGTTAATTGCAGCTTTCGTTTAATCTTGTTTTACTGGCGATGAGCCATTTTGACTTTTCAGTTTCACACTGACACGATATGTCGAAAGATCATTCAGATCTCCAATTTTCTCGTATTTCTTGATGATTTTTGTTGACAGTTCTTACCAATCAAGACGTCATGAAATACAGCCGACAGTGCCTTTACGCTTTCATTGCGAAGAATTAACACGATGAAGAAGCGGCGGCCGAACAGTTTTGGTAAGACAATTATCTCTTGGTAATCTGTTCGAATTGTGAATACAACACCGTATCTTTTTGGAAGATGTCGTTGATACGAGGGTGAAATAGTAAGCAGTACACTTATAGAGGTGTTTGGTGAAGTCTGTTTCATTACACGTGCAGCGTATCAGCTTTCTACAACCCGGAAAAAACCTCTCCCGGTCCGAGTGTGGATGTAGCATCGACGATATTGGTGTGGAAGACATTTTTCACACAAAGGAAGGATGGCTACCAGTACACTGATAGAGGTTGTTGGTCAGATCGTATATCGCCTCACGCGCAGCGTAACAGAACACTTCAACCCAGAAGAACCTGAATTCACGACAGAGTCTTTTGGCTACGATCCACTGTTAAGCACAGGTAGAGAATGGTATAAAGAGCCTGTTGATGAACTGATATACCAAGAGTACAGCGACAGAGAGGCTACAAACTCAAACTTTTTCGCATATAACATTAATGTCCAGGTTATAAACGCGTTCTTACCAGAAGACAGTGGGGAGACAAGGGTAGATCAGAACGTTAAGGAGGAAGAAATGGCTTGGAAACGTCTTCGTCCATCCTTTTCACAGACAGTTTTTAAATCGATGTGCTTTGGAGCGTTGATTTCGTTTCTTGCAGCTGTGTTAATTGCCATGGTTTACCTGCAAATCTCCTATGTCAGTTACAAAACAATTCTTCAATGTCAGGATTACAACATCTCGTCAATTCCAATTCGTGTGCAGTGGATCAAAACGATTTCTGATGCGATATCCGTTAGTTTCTATTACTTCTGGATCTTTGTTACACTCCTGTTTCTTTTTCGTCCGTATCAGCTCAAAGGAATAAAGAAAAAGCTGATTCTGGTAAGCTTTGCAGCGTATTGTTTGGACATAAGTTATCGCTTTTCTCTTCAAGTTATTGGAAAGCCTTATTATGCGTCAGCCACTGAATTGCAGATTCCAATATATACTTTTCTCATCACCAGTATATGTTTGCAATTATATATTGTCGGGAGACAGTTCTGCCCGCGTCCAAGACTGGCAGGTTTATTGTGTAAAATGATAGTACCATTTTGCTTGCCCCTTATTTATGGAATGTTTATTTCAGATATTCTTTATAGAGCGTATCTCAAACAAGAAAACACAGGCAGGCTGATAATTGCATTATTTTCACCTCTTTTGGGGGTCGCTGTAAAGGTAATATCAAGAATCTGTGTTCAGCGATTATGGAACATTACTCATCCAGGATACTCTTATGTGTTGTTGGCGCCTCTCTACTTCGGCACAGCGATTATCTTTCGAGTTTTACAAGCAGATCTTGACCATCTCCAGACTATCGCCATTCTTGGAGTTATTCACGGAGCTGCAGAAGTCATTGA